ATTGGAACGTCTTCCGACAATTCACTTCGTGCGTCGATCACTATCTCACGTAGCAGTGAGGTAAGTACGTCTATGAATGGACTCTCGAGGCCTTGCCTGGAAGGCTCACCGTCAGCTTGGGGGGGAGTGTCATCACGTCTATCACGTCCACCTCGTTTTCCCCGAGCATGGCCTCCTCGCCCATTTTGAGAGCGACTCATGCGCCCTAGGAGACTTCCTCCTCTGCCGGTCTGGCGGCCGCGGTTACTGTGATACCCGCTCCGGCCGCGGTTGTTGCCACGCCAGGTTTTGGCGGGTGGTCCGTAGTACGCCCTAGGCGCGATTGGGAGGGCGGGAGCGTGTGCCACAGCGACGCCCATGCCCGGTCCCGATCGCATGCTCTGTGCAAGCTGCGAGAACGCCGTCGCCCATTGAGTTCCCTGTGAGAGAAGGGCCCCGAACGCGTCCTCCGACATGGCTACCCCTCGCATTCCTGATCCCCAACCGTAGTCCCTCCCGTGGACGGCATCCCTCCTGAACGGTGTTCGGGGAGAGGTGCGTGTCGGTGGCGAACGCAGTAGACCTCCCTATAGCCAGCCGGTGGCTCGCCGGGGTTGGGGCCGTTACCAGTGAAGTGCGCCAAGAGGCGGTCGGCGTATTGCTGCCACAACGCCCAGTGCTCTGTGTTGTAGTCCCGAGGGTTGGCAGAAGACATGTCGTTCGTGGGAGTGGTTCCGTGTGTGTGTGTGCGAGAGTGCGACGTTTGCGATGTGTCTTCTCTGCTACTTTTTAAACAGGTTCGGAGAATGTCTCTGCCGTCAAAGCAAACCGATCCGACGCTCAACGTGATGCCTTCGTCATCTTCCGCCGCGGAAGCAACTCCTGAATCAGTTTTTTTGTGGAGCCGTGGTTGTCTCGATCGCAACAGGTGAGTCCTTCAGCTTATTCACGCGCGGTACTCCTAGTGCTTCGAGATATTCCGCCAGAGCTCTCAGATGGCTTACATCGGCGTAAGGTGCCCATGTCACATCCCCTGTGGACCACTGCACCTGGAACTCGGCGTCCGCTCCCCGCCCTATGTGTGAAATTATCCGATCGACCGCCCACTCCCTAGGGCTTTCACCGAGCCCCGGAATCTGATGGTATTGTCTCCCAGGAAACCTGCGGTCATCATTGGGGTAATGTGGGCGTAGGAGTGACGCATGGAAGGCGTTTGCCAGTCCGCGTGCCCGCAATTCGGCAGGCAAGTCCAATTTGTAGGTTGCGCCCTCCACGATGACTCTGCTAATTCGGAAAGGTCCCAAGTATTTTGGAGCCAGCTTGCGTGCGATGCCTTTTGGAAGTGATATGTTCTTTGTCGACAGATACACCAAGTCATTCACCTTAAAAGGTGCCGGACGCCTTCGCTTGTTTGCCTGGTCAGTCTGCGCGATCCTGGCCCCAATTATGGCATCATGGGCTGACATGATCGCGTCTTTCATGCGTGCTGCAAAAGCACGAACACCGGGGTACGGGGTCTCCGATGCCCACACCAGCGAGCGCGGCATCTGGCCGTAATTCAGGTAGAATGGTGAGAACCCCGTCGTCTCGGACCGTGCCATATTCATTGCTAACTCTACTGCCGGTAGACGTGAAACCCAGTCTTTCTGGTCGGGTCTGACGCACTGACGCAACATTTGTGTCATTGTGCGGTTTGCGCGTTCCGTAGCCCCATCTGTTTGAGGATGGAAGGACGAGGATAGACGGATTTCCGTGCGCAAAAGGCCATGCAAGGTACGCCAGAACGTGCTTGTGAACAACGAGTCCCGATCACTGATTATTCTCTCTGGCAATCCATGCAGCTTGTAGACGTGTTCAAACACGACCTCTGCCATGTCTGCTGCCGTATACGTTTGTAACGTAGGTACCAGGTGTACCATGGACGTGAGCTGATCTATAATAACACAGATCATGTCGAAGTCCCCCAATCGGTTTCCTGAACTCGGCAGTGGGCCTACGAAGTCGATGGCGATATATTGCCATGGCCGCTGTGGTACAGGCAGCGGTCGCAACAGCCCCATGGGCTTTGCTGGTACTGACTTCGTCATCGCACAGACTCCGCACGTTTTGCAGTACGCTTCCGTGTCTGCCACGATTTGTGGCCACCAGACCTCCGCCCTCAACGCATCCAACGTTTTCCGATATCCCAGGTGTGCAAGCAGCGAGTGAGTATGCTTAATCAATATCTCGCGCACGCGTCTCGTGCCGACTAGAATATCAGGTATGCACAGTAAGTGCATTTCTCCATGTTTTTTGTACAGTAGACCGTCGATGTACTCGAACAGTGGGTATTCCGACGGCGTACTGACCACCTTTCGGAAGTAGGCATCTTCTATATATCGACCACGCAGCCCGCCTGGTAGCTGCATTCCTAGGTCTCCAGCGGTCGACACTATGTCGGCTGGCCTCCTTTCTGCAGCGTTGCTGGTTGTCTCCGGCGTTGTGTTTTGTGAGACGTCAGTCTTGTCGTTACACACAGCTTCTGATCCTGCTTGGGGCGAGCGGCCATCGGTTGTGGCATCCGCGCTCGGCTGGCGTAGTGTGTCTGTTGATGAGCTCTCTGATGCCATCGTGGTTGGTATGGTTGTGCCTTCGTGCATTGCACGGTACGTTCCTTCAGGCTTTTTGTTCTGTGCGATTCGAGCTGACCGTCTCGGTGTAAAGTCGATTACAGCAGCTGCACCCGTGTACAGAGGACGCAGGATGTCCATTATGCCCTCCTCATTACCGTCTTCGGTGTTGTCATGTCCTACATACTCAGACGTCGCTCGTTCGATGCCTGTGGGCTCATCGCTGTATAGTCTAGACAATGCGTCCGCTAATACATTTGTTTCCCCTGGAATATAATGTATGGAGAAGCGGAATTCATTCAGTACGTCCATCCATCGGTGCTGTCTCGGAGAGAGGTTTTTCTGCTTCATCAAAAACTCTAGGGCTTTATGGTCTGTACATATGCGAAACGATGTGCCATATAACAAAGGGCGGAATCGTTTCAGTGACTCGACGATGGCGAGTAACTCCTGTTCATGCACCGCATAGTTTTGCTGTGCTGAGTTGAATTTTCCGGACCAGAATGCGACAACCCTCGCTCTGGTGAGTACTTCTCCTTGGCATATGTATCCGCTTGCGCCTGTCAAGGAGGCATCCGTTACCAGGTTAATCGGAGGTGCGCTTTCCGAGTAATCCAACGCTGCACGCCTGCTATGCCTCCACTTGTGCACCGACGCTTTCACTTGTTCGAAAGCACGCTGGTAGGTGTCCGTCCAATTCCAAGGTTTTGCAGAGCTTGTGAGTTGTGCTAAAACACCCATCGGGATTCGGATTCCTTCACAGTCTGGAGCCAAAAACCCGACAGCCCCCAGGAAAGAGCTAAGCAAACTTTTGTTCGTCGGTACCTTCCAGTTCTGTACTGAATCCACCTTGTGGGGGTCCATAGCGATCCCCTTCTCATCTATTAGGTGTCCCAATAGTTTCAGCCGCGTTGCGAAGAAGTTCATCTTGTCAGCCCCAAGATAGAACTTGTGCTTCCTCAGGACGTCAAAAATCGTTCGTATGTGTTTGACATGGTCCTCGATGGTGTCTGAATATATGACTATGTCGTCGAGGTAGACGTCCATGAACACTCCGATGTACGGCGCAAAGATGTGGTTCATCACTGTTTGGTAAGTCGTTGGCCCGTTTATATCCCCTTGTTGTAGCACTAGGCTCACCATCGTTCCGTCTGGCGTGGTGAACAGAGTACGAGGTACGTGTTCCGGTACCACCCTTATTTGTTCATAAGCATCCTTTCCGTCTATCAGGCTTCTGTACCGGTGTTTCACCACGTTACGGAGTATTCCATCGATATCAGGCAGCGGCGCTGCCAGCTTGTGGGTGTTCGCGTTCTGCTCACGCTTGTCTACCACAGTTCTAATACGGATTTCGCCGTCTCCCTTGGGAGGCTTCTTGAGGATCAGCATAGGGGACGCATTGACTCCCGAAGCCATTTGCCAGCGGCCAGAGGCCAGGTACGCCCTCTTCTTCTCCGCCCAAATAGGCTTGAGAGCTTCAGGGCATTTGGACGGTCTCCATGAGTACACTTTCGTCTCATCTATGAGTGGAATAGTGTGATTTATTTCTCTAAGCGGCGGCAGCTCCGCGTTCGCACCGTCTTGGCACAAGTCCGCCGCTTCCCGTTTCAATTGCTCACGTATCTTTTCCAGCTCGTCCTCAAGCAGGTCAGCTGCAGCTGACGAAACGACTGCCACGTCCTCCCCTCGGATGTCTACCGGACTCAGGGAGCCAATAGAAACTCGGGTAGGGTTCAACCCTATCGCCACTTGATGTTGAAACAAGAACGGTGTTCCTAATATAATGTCGTAATTATCCAGGTTCACTACGTCGAAGCGTCGCTGACATCGTATATCCTGATAGGAAAATTCAGCCATGACGGAACAATTTATCTTAGACCGGGAACCATGTACAGCGAGCTGCACAGGCAAAGGTTTCGCCAAAATATCCTTTTTCAGGCCCAGTTGGTCCACCAAAGTGGTCGACATGAAGTCAGCCATTGACCCCGTATCCAGCAATGCTCTGGCGCGTTCGCCGTTGATGTATACTAACAGCACAACAGGTTTTGGGATCACACGGCTAAAATCCTTAGGCCGCATGGAGTTCCGTTCTACTGCTGGAATAGTGTTCTCCGTCCCTGAGCTCGAGTTCTTTGTGGTCTGACCCTTAGTCCTTCTAGATGGTCTGATAGCTCCAAGCATCAAAGACCATCTCTTACGACGTCGTTTTTCGGCAATGTCCCGCATTTCCCTGATGTCTTCCGGCGAGTACTCATCCATTAATGAGTCCATTACCTGTCTTGGATCAAAACCTGCCTTATGAACAGTTGTGTGGCTCAGCACGAGTTCAACACCCTCGGCAGCCGTAGTTACGAGGTAACCCGTGTCGTGTCTGGCCACCTGTACCATATTTTCTATACCAGCTAATTGACAATACCGCTCCTGCATAGCGTGTTTCGCGTGTGCACGAAGCCAGTAGATGGCTGGATGAGTGTCAAACTGTGAGCGACAGTCCGGGAAACCATCCTGCCAGTCAGGTGGCACTGGGGCTGCGATGAACGAGTCCCAAGTTTCCTGTAATATATCCGGGACCGTTCGTGTGAAGCCGAGAATTTCTTCTACACTGACTGCGAAGGAGTCCGGGAACGTTCGTGTCCCATAACGCGCGAACAACTCATCTGTGATCTCAACAGTAGACCCCCATCCGATTGAGCTGAAACGCTCGCTTGCCGCCATGCCCACCTCAGCAGACGCACGGGGGTCGTGAAAATCATTGAACATGTCCAGCGCAATTTTCTCCGCTTCCGCCAGTCGCGGATGATCGATAGCATTGTCTGACCACTCGTCTGTTTCAATAGATATAGATCCTAGACGTATATCGGTGTCCGTCCCCCTTGCTCTGTCGGCCAAGCTTTCTAGGTGTTCGAATCTAATGGAGCTCGATCCCAGGGGGACGTCCGGGGCCTTCGCAGTCCTACGCTTTGGACAGTTCCAACTCTTATGACCAGGTAGCTCACACGTGAAGCACAAGTCTTTTTGTGTAAGTTCTGCGAGTTTTTCGTCCGAATGTCTCGTCTGATGCTCTTTCTTCTTACCCCCGTTGTGACGTTTGCCTGTGTCCGGAGGATGGCTATTCCCGCTGTGCGTACGTCCGGGCTGTCCATTCATGCTGTTTCCTGACCTGTTGTTAGCCTGTCTTGCAGCGTTCGAAGGCGGTCCTTGCGGTTGTGCCCTGTACGGCATCGGCCCCGCCGTTCTGGTCGCAAAACGCCCCCATGTTCGGCCGGGCACTCGGCCTTCAAAATCCCGTTCTAATCTGCGGGCTTCAAGGTGTGCCTTCTCTTTCCGTGCAGCGTGTTTGACGAGCCTATCTAGCGGTGTAGTTTCCGGATCAAATCCCTTCTCAATCAGGTGTACTCGTAAGTATTGATTAATGCCTTTCCAGAAGATTTGCACCAGCTGAAAGTCAGTGACATCGGGAAACCGTTTAGCCAAGTGCTCGATTTCCCGCACATAGTCACGTAACCTCGTTGTCCCTTGGTAAGCACGCTCCAATTTCGCCCTAAGCACCCTTTTGAAGTCTTCAGGGAAGCAGTAGTCGAACAGTCCATCGTAGACGTCCTGTTTGGACCACTTGTTTCGTTCAGGAGCCACATGGTTCATGAAGAACTTTGCGGCCTTGCCTCCCAAGTAATTCATCATGGTTTTCACCACAAAACCGTCGGGTACGTCGTTCACTTCAGCCCAGGTGTCTAGCTCATAGCACCACTGGTCAAATTCATCCAGATCCGGGTGTCCGGTCCAGCGGGATGGCTCCCTGAGCTTGATACGCTTCAACAGTGCCTGTAAGTCCCTTACTTCCTGCTTTTGCTTCTTCCGATGACGTTTCTCCGACGTGGATTTGCCTTTGGCGTTTTTACGGCTCCCTTCCGACTCGGATGACTCGGAGCTCTCTGGAGAGGATGTATTATTCTCCGAGTCGGAACTGCTGTCATCCGGGCTCGAGTCGGAGCCGTCGGGTGGTTTACGCCCTCCGTTGTGCCCACCTCCGTTTCCAGCACCGCGTCCCGTAGCAGACGCACTGTACCATCCTCCGTCTGGTACTTGCGACGGTTCCCGCTTATACGCGGCCGGCGGTGTCCGTTTATGCGACGTAGGTCGGTTCTGCCCGGCCGTGGGCTTCGCAGCTCTTGATGTGCGCCCTCCTGCGAAATTTTCCAAGAACTCACGCTGTTCTGATGACCTTGGCACGCTTTTCTGTTTCTGATTCGCCGTAAAGCGGCCATTCGTGCCCGCCGGGGCGGGCGTGTCTTTATCTTCGATTTCCACTATGACAGCGTGG